TTAACCTTTGAGAGCCTCAACAGCAAAATACTTCATAAACCCGTTTGAACAGCTCTAAACCACTTCCGAAACTCCGAAACCCTTATCCATTATGAAGCTCCTTCAAACCCAGAATAACAACTCGAAACAAACCGACGCCGCCATTAAAGCCCATTTCTGGCGACGATACCTTCATCTTCTCCAAACAAAGAAACAAAAACATAAACCTTCAACCCATTACAAACTTCCGTTACCATCACCAACCACCCATCAAAACCTCCTCAACATCAGAACCATCTAAACTTCTCCTTCGCGGACCCTCCTTCGAACTTTCCTGAACCACAACATTTTCAACTGCAATTAAATCAAATGGGAACAAAAGAACACAAATTGAGATAGAGTGAGACGAAAAGAAACAGAGAGAGATTTAAAAACAGAAACATAAGAATAGCGTGGGAGCGAGAGAGATAGTGTGAGATTGAGATATAGCGAGAGTTGAGAGATTGGAACGGTGAGAGTGAGAGGGATGATTTGGAAATTTGGATCCACCGTTTTTCTGTATTTACTCTTTTTTAATTTTTTTTTTTACTTTGTTTTATTACTTTATTATTTTGGATCTTGGGCTTAGACCCATTAGGATGTTGTGTGTACCCCTCCGTCTCTGCATACCCCCTATCTTCTTAACTTTTTTTTTTCTTAATTTGTTTTTGTTATTGTTATGTATATTATTATAATTAGTTATTTTATATATATTATTTTCTTTTAACATTTCTTTAAAGTTTTTATATTTATGTTTCTTTTATCTTACTTAGAACTTTATAAATATTTCTTTTAACTTATAGTTTTAGGATTTATACATAAACTTTTCTTTTAAAATTGGATTTATTTCTTATTTGTCATTGGGCATTTTGTCCCATTTTCATCCGTTTTGGGTCGATGACGAGACCTCCGTAATTCATTACCAGTCAAATTATTGATGAGTAATGTTGGATCTGAGACCACCTCTTTTTCTCTCTTCATTACTTGTCCCGACTCGATTCAAAACTTTGTCAAACAATTTTCAAAATCAAATTCTTTGTATTGAATTAAAAAGAGGGGATTAAGTGTAGACTTTTTTCCTCTCCGAGCGTTGGGATGCCCACTGTAGTGAGGGTGGTTCCGACACTCGTCTTTCAATGCAAAGACGCTTCCCGTCCATTTTCAAATCTCATCTCCTTAAAACCATTTCTTTGTGTTGAGCTAAAGAGAGGATTGGGTGTAGATCTCTTCTTCTTCGAGCATAGGGATGCCCACTGTAGTGAGGGTGGTCTCGATGCTCGTCTGTCAATACAAAGACACTTCCTTCCGTAACCTTCATCACCTAAAACCTCGGTCCCGTACCGGGCATTTTTTCAAACAACAAATTAATTTCTCTTCATATTGAATTAAAGAGAGCGGATTGGGTGTAGACCTCTTCTTCTCCGAGTGTTGGGATGCCCACTGTAGTGAGGGTGGTTTCGACGCTCGTTTTTCAATACGAAGACGCGCCTTCTTCCACCACTTCTCCTTTCACAACCTCCATTCTGCAACCTTTCATACCTAAAACCTCGGTCCCGTACCGAGTGCATTTTCAAACTCTTTTCCCAACAAAAACTTGAATGGTCGTGGAGTGGTTAGGCGTAGGCCTTCTCCTATCCCGAGTGCTGACGTTTACCGTAGGGTTCTCTGTCGCAAAGCACTTACCATTCAAAACCAAAAACACTTTAATAAGAGAATGAAGCTCTCTTTATGATGAATTAAAGAAAGTGGATTGGGTTTAGACCTCTTCCTATTCGAGCGTAGAGATGCCCACTGTAGTGAGGGTGGTTTCGACGCTCGTCTTTCAATACAAAGACGCCTCGTTCGCCATACCTTTTATAACAAAAAGTTTGAGATATCGAATTGGGTACTACCCGTAGGGGTTACTATCCGAGGACCTGTCTCGCCCCCTAAAAAACAATCCAATCAATCAAACGTGACTTCTTGCCTCGCGTGGCGAAAACTAATCAATCTTTCAAAAAGGATATGTTACGTCCGTTCTACCGCAAACAGGTAACGCCTAAGTCTCCAACGAGCGAGCAGCGAAACACCTAACTGCTAGAATGCGCACGATAGCATCATCCATAAAAAAACATCAACAAACCGTAGGCCAAACTACGACTGCTCTGATTCTTTACTTCTTTCAAGTAAAGATACGTAGGCACAAGGGCCACAATCCTTGCCGAGCACAATCCCCCCATCACCCGTAGTTTCCCGAACTACGTCGACTCTGACTTCCTCACATCTATTGAGAATACGTAGGCATAGGACTGCGAAATCCTACCGAGTCCGTTCTTTCTCCTCTCCCCTCCGTTATCTCTCTTTCCCCGTCTCTAATACCCTTTTCTTTATCCTTTGGAACACCTTTATAGCATAATGTTTTAGCAAATATAATCACACGTCGACAAACAAAAGGTTCCCATCGAGTACGATGGATGCGAGGGGTGCTAATACCTTCCCTTCGCATAACCGGCTTCCGAACCCGTTCATGGTTGCGAGACCATCTTATCCGTTCGTTTCTTAAGGTTTTCTCGATATTTTCCTTTCCCCTCATGGGATAAATAAAGTTCGGTGGCGACTCTTCTGTCCTTTCTTTTCGCCTCCCCGTCGTTGCGCGATGCATTTTTCGAGTAGCGACAATGATATACTGCTGACTGGAAGTTCTGAACAGGAGATAACCAAGTTCAAGAAGGTTCTAATGAATGAATTTGAAATGACTGATCTAGGCAAAATGACATACTTTCTAGGGATGGAGTTCAGATATTCTGAGAAAGGTATCATTTTGCATCAGCTCAAGTATGAATTAGAACTTCTGAAGAGATTTGATCTGAAGAATTGTAAGATGGCTGTCAAACCTTCTGATACAAATCAGAAACTGGATTCAGACTCTGAAGGAAAGGATGTGGACGCTACAACCTTCAAACAGTTGGTCGGTTCTCTGAGGTATCTGTGCAATACCAGACCTGATATCTGCTACTCAGTTGGGATGGTTAGTAGGTTCATGAGTAAACCTAAGTGGTCCCATTACCAAGCTGTTGTCAGGATTCTGAGGTATATCAAAGGAACTCTGAAGTATGGAGTGTTATTTCCCTCTGGAGGAAATAATGAGTCAGAACTTCTGAGTTATTCAGATTCTGATTGGTGTGGAGACAGAGTTGACAGAAGAAGTACATCTGGGTACTTGTTCAAATTTCTGGGAGGTTCCATTTCTTGGTGTTCCAAGAAGCAACCTGTTGTGGCGTTGTCAACCTGTGAAGCTGAATACATTGCAGGTGCTGTTACTGCATGCCAAGTTGTGTGGATTATGAATCTGTTGCAGGATCTGAAGATTAAAGTAGACAAACCTCTGAAGTTGATGATTGATAACAAGTCTGCAATCAATCTTGCCAGAAACCCAGTGTTGCATGGGAGAAGCAAGCATATTGAGACCAAGTATCATTTTCTGAGACATCAAGTTCAGAGTGGAGTGTTAGAAGTTGTACACTGCAGCACTCAGAAGCAGTTGGCAGATGTTCTGACGAAAGCTATCAAGACTGATCAATTTCTTAGACTAAGGGATGAAATTGGTGTTACAAGTTTTGATGGAATATGAATTAAGGGATGATATTAGAATATTAATAGTAATTCATATTTATTTAGTTGTACTATTTTCCTTGGCCCCTAAGTTTGTTAGAGGGTATTTTAGTATTTTATCTTATTCTAGTAACCCTAGTTTTAGCTTATAAATAGGGTGGCAATCATTGTAACTTTTAATCATGTTTTGTAGCCGTCATTCTTAATAGAATATTTCCTTTGTTCATCATTTATTCACCTTTGCATCAACATAATTTATCCATCCAATCCATCCATAAGACAAAAAATAATTTAATGGATTTGATCCAATCCATCCACTAACTCATGTAGATGGATTCAATCCATCCATCTCATTTTATAAATCCATTGGATATTATTTTGTCACTTATTAAATTAAGAATTTTTAAATTAATTTTTTGGATGGATGAATATCCATCCATTAGAAATATGTTAATGGATGGATTGGATTGAATTTTTATTAAGAGAGTTTAGTGGATTGTTAATGGATTAATGGATTGATTTGATCCATCTATTAACAATCCAATTCATATCCATCTATTTTGCCACCCCTAATTGGTATCCTATATTAAATTTGATTGAAAAGTAGCAAAAAGGAAAAAAGTAGGTACCGTAAAACCCTAGTTCCTTCTTACATTGGCTACAGGAAAAAAAAATCCCATAAAATGACACTTGTTGAACTATCACTTTCATACCTGATTGTTTCGATTTCAGATCCGTCGAAAGCCGTTTCAAATTACAGTAAAACTTAGAAAAAAAATCAAAATTAATAAGAAGGGAAAAAAAGAAAGCTTTTTTGATAAACTCTAACATGCAATCTAGATGATTATTTTTTTAGTTCTTTGGAAGATTGGAAGGGAGAGTGATGAAAGAAGGAGTGTGAGACATAAATAGTAAAAAAGTGAATAGAGAGAAAAGAAAGATGAAAAAGAGAAAGTGGAAGAGCATAAACGAAACAAAGTTGAATTTTCATCATAGTTAAAATTTTCAAACCAATTAATTTGTACTAAATGTCAAAAAGTAAATAAATAATGTGTTGAGAAAACACACGACGCGGAAGCATAGAAAGGCAGAAGAGTATTGTGGTAATTTTCTGAACATAACTTTTTCTTATACGATAAATATATGATAAATTGGTATTAGTATTTTAATAACCGTTTTCTTTTTCAGCTTAAAAAAATGATTTCAGGTGTAAGAATTAAAAAAAAGGACATATTATTTATAAAAAAGAAAAGAAAAAAGTCCCGGGATTAGTACGGGTCTATAGTCTATACCAGATTACCGGTCCCCCTAACGATTACATTTAACACAGAGAATATCACAACATCATATAACATGACAATTTCAGTGGTTCACGTTTTCAACCCTCGATAATGGCGACTCATCTGCTAAGATTTTCCCTCTTCTCCGAACCTAACCTCTCTCTCAATTCCACACTCAATCTCAATCTCAATCATCACCGCCACTTCATTTCTCTTCTACCCTCAAAACGACGTCGCTACCGCCACCTCAACCGCCGCCAAATTCCCCGCCCATATTTCCCCGTCTCGAACTCTTTCAGCACTGAAATTCGCACTCCCGAATCACCTCTTCTTCAACGCCAGACACAAATCAAAGACTCGCCGGTTCTTCTCGATGTCACCGGAATGATGTGCGGCGGCTGCGTCTCCCGAGTCAAAACCATCCTCTCCGCTGACGACCGAGTAGACTCCGTCGTGGTCAACATGTTGACTGAGACCGCAGCTGTTAAGCTTAAACGCCTCGAAGAGGAACACGCGAGCGTTGCTGAGAGCCTTGCTCTGCGATTGAGCGAATGCGGGTTTCCGACTAAGAAAAGGGAGTCGGGTTTGGGAGTGGCGGAAAATGTTAGGAAGTGGAAGGAGTTGGTGAAGAAGAAGGAGGAACTTCTCGTCAAGAGCCGTAACCGCGTCGCTTTCGCTTGGACTTTGGTTGCACTGTGCTGTGGATCACATGCTTCGCATATTTTTCATTCTTTTGGGATTCATATTGCTCATGGTAACGTTCAAACCAACTATGCTATATTAGCTATTCGTTATTCAGCTGCAAATTTACTTCAATTTGGAACCAAATTTCCTCAGACATGACTTGCTTTTCTTTTTGTAGGACCGGTTATGGAATTTCTTCATAATTCATACGTGAAAGGTGGCTTAGCTTTGGGAGCTTTATTGGGACCTGGAAGAGGTTAGTTTGTTACCTCTCTTGTTTAGTTACTTGTTTAAAATTATATCCTCTAACTGATACTATCTGCAGCACTTCAAGTTCAATACCTTTTATTATGCATTTATGGTAAATGTGAATACATTGATTCATCTTTATAAATTTATTTTAGTAGAATTATTATTATATCTCTTCATTTATACACATTTTGTAATCGGTGAATTGGTTACTTTCTTTAGATATATAAAATTGCTATTTTTGGTTTTTTAGGACACAAGTTTACTGAAAACTCTTCAAATAGTTGTAATTTAAATAAAATTTTGTTTCAAATTGTAGTCTTGCCAGTTCTGGGACACATTCCTTAATATTACGGAGTAAATCACGGTGTTACAATTTTCTAACTGCACTAGACTCGTGAAAATGTTGCAGAGTTACTCTTTGATGGTCTAAATGCTTTCAAGAAAGGGTCGCCAAATATGAACTCTCTCGTGGGATTTGGTTCAATAGCTGCTTTCATCATCAGTTCGGTGAGATTCTCTGGGGAATTTGAGTGTTCCATTAAGTTGACAGCTAAATTTGTGTTTTTGTTTTAGTTTTATGTGCTGTTAACTTGAACTTCATCTCTGCTATAGATCTCACTACTGAACCCCGAGCTGGCATGGGATGCATCATTCTTTGATGAACCGGTGACTTTCTTTACTTTCAAATGTCTCAATATTTTCCATTTGAAAATTTGTTTTTTAAGCCAAGCAAGAGCAAACTACTACTTAACATTGCAAGGGATTTTTGTTTGCTTAGATATAATAACCTCAACTTCTTTATTCGCATTTCTAACATTCATGTTGATAATAAGCTCCTCATATAAGGATTTTGTCTTTTAGCATGCAGGTCATGCTTCTTGGTTTCGTGCTTCTAGGACGTTCTCTGGAAGAAAAAGCAAGGATTCAGGCGTCTAGTGATATGAATGAATTACTTGTAAGTTGCAATGCGATACATCTCTTTTGTTTGAATTTTGATAATATTCCAGGAAAATAAGTTTTCAAGAAAATTGTTCTCTCTTCTCTCTTCTCAGTCCTTGTTGGACCATTTTAAAAATCTTCTTCCATCTTTCGGCATTCTTATTTTAATTCAAAAATCTTTTTTTGAAAATCATGTTTGATCTCTTTTCCTAAATGTAAAACTTCTTTTTATTTGTGATTTCTGTTAGATTGTGTTCCTTAATTTTTTTGTTTTACCCATGTGGACTTCTACACCAGATAATTTGTGATCTCGAACAAATTATTACACATTTTATAGGCAATGTTTGATAGTATATCATTAGTGGTTGGTGACGCTTGAATCTTTGGAAGCCTAACTGCTCTAATATTGTTTGGATAGACTGATCTGATAATATATTCCCTTATGATGATTATACGACCTTTGGAAGTCGCAGCATAAATAAGAGATTGTGATGGTGTTCCATTTCAAAATCCAATCTCATTTCAACTTTCATTTATAGTTTGAATTTAAAGGTCGTAATCCAAGAACTGGAACATTGGTTAAAGGAAATTCGTAATCCAAGAAAAATTGGTTAAAGGTCGTAATCCAAGAACTGGAACATTGGCTAATGGTCTTAATCTAAGAAATAAGAGATAGTATATCATTATTTCTTAGAAAAATTAGTAATCCAAGAACTGGAACATTGAATAATGCTCGTAATCTAATAAGAGCTAGTATATCATTATTTCTTAGAAAAATTAGTAATCCAAGAACTGGAGCATTGGTTAAAGGAAAAATGGCTTATATGAGCATTAAGTATCTATTAGAAAAAATAGGTAAAAGTTGTTGTGTTTTATTCCTCAGCCTTAGGCTGGTTTATATAGCGAAGATACAATTATTACACTTGATTTTCTCCTTAGTGGAGAATAAAGGAAAATAAAGAAAAATAAAAGTAGTATTAAAGGAAATAATAAAACCGGAAATAAAATATTTTCCAACTGCATCATGTTATAGTTTGAATTTAAAAAGTAGCATTGTTTTTTGATGAGTCATATTTATAAGTTGGTTTAATGATTGGGGTGTATGTTTTTCCAGTCACTAATATCTACTCAGTCAAGACTTGTCATTACATCATCAGAAGGTTCCCTATCGACTGACAATGTGCTTAGCTCTGATGCAATTTGTGTGGAAGTTCCAACTGATGATATTCGAGTAGGAGACTCAGTGTTGGTGTTGCCTGGAGAAACTATTCCTATAGATGTGAGCCTCAGATTGTTGGTGAAATGTTTAATGTATTTATAGTTATGTTATATGTTTGATACTCGAGTTTAGGCTTAAACTTTAAAAGCATCCGAAGTACCTAAAGTGGGTCCAATCTTCCACCACCTATAATAATAGCATTGGCTTAGAGAACAGTTATACAATTGTTTACACACTGAACATGAGGCATCCCTTCACGATTTGAGAGGGAATATATGACGAATCTTTGGTTCACATGGTATTGCTTGCTAACATTATAAAATTCTGGGCAGGGAAGGGTCGTTGCAGGAAGAAGCGTTGTGGACGAATCCATGCTTACAGGAGAGTCGCTTCCTGTATTTAAGGAGGAAGGCCTCACAGTTTCAGCAGGAACTATAAACTGGGTAAGATTTTGAAATCAATCTTGTATTTTATGATGTCTCACTAAATTAGCCGCTGGGGCGCATCTGATGTTGAGTTTTTCCCTTTGATTTGGAGGGAAATCATTAATCTATTGCATTTGCCAACAAACATCTATTTCAGGATGGTCCTTTAAGAATTGAATCTTCTTCGACTGGCTCCAACACAATGATATCCAAGATTGTACGCATGGTTAGTATCACATCTTCTGTAGTGGCTTAGTGGTTAGACTATATAGCGTTAATGAGATAATCTAGTTTTTCCGTGTTCGATCCCAGTTAAGAATGTAATTTCTTGCATCCTTAGCTTTTGTAGTTTTATAGAACAGTGCATTGCATATAATTTATTTTATTTATTTAATTTCAAAATCATGCATTCTGGAATGTGTTAGCAACCAACCACAATCCACAAATTAGGAAAGTTAGCAACAAGAGAAATAAGAATGTAGCCAAGAAATCAACTCAGCCAAGGTTAGTTAAGACTTGTCAGTTAAGAGCAAATCTTTCAGGCTATTAGTTAGGTTGTTATAAACAGAGGCCAAGACGTAGATGGAGGCAGTTGGGAATTTTTGGAAAGAGGTTGCCATTTACCACCCTTCCAAACTGCAGCAGTGTGAATACCAATGGCCATTCAACAAATAAGTAAAAAGGAGGTCCTTCTCGAAATTGAGTTTGGAAGCGTCAATTCAAACATGCACTTAGTTGGTCAGTCAGTTTTGGGTGGTAAAGACCAGCCCCTCCAATTGCCGGGGAAGAAATCATTGTGTTTCATTCTTTCTCTCCTTAACTATAGATACCCACTGAACCATTGTTGGAGGAGGATATTCAAATAAACTTCCTAATTTTCATTATGTTGATCTCTATATTCTGAACCAATGTCTTTCAGTGTGGTGATGATTCTATAAATATTTGGAGATTACAATGCTGATAAGTTCATTACTTTGAGGCATGAGAGTCAAGCATTTGTTGAGAGAGTTTCTACAATGTTACAGCTTTATCTGGTGAAATATAGGTTGAGGATGCTCAATCACGCGAAGCACCTGTTCAAAGGCTTGCAGATTCAATAGCAGGGCCATTTGTATTTAGCATAATGACTCTGTCAGCAGCAACATTTGCATTTTGGTAGGTACTTATATTTCTATACAAATTCTTTTAGCTGATCTGGTAATGACTCTGTTACGATATAGAATAATATATATTAGAGTAGAAATAGTACGCAGAGTTATTTTAGAAGTTAGTTAGTTGAGGTTGTTATAGCATATGTGTATAAATAAGAGAATACAAAGGGTAGAGAGCATCTTTGAATCTTGAAATTGCTAATAGAGTATTCTCTATTGTGAAGGGGAAACCCTTGAAGGAGATATTCTCTCCTATTTTATCATATTGCTTACTAAAACTGATATTTTATTGCAACTCGGTTTTTGGGTTCTTAACATTACTTAGAAGAAAAAAGGATGAAATCTGATTATTATTTCTAATTGTTGAAGTACAAACACCCAGAAAAAAGGATGGAATTTGATTATTATTTCTAATTTTTGTAGATTATACATTTTATTCATTATTTTAGAATCACACAAATAAAGTCTCTTAGAACTATAAATATGAAACACAGTTTTGTACATGAAACCAGGAAAAAGGAAACGGTACAAATTAATGAGAGAAAACCATGGAAAGAAAATCAGGTACTGAGACAACCTTTTTTCTCAAGTTGATCAATGGATCTCTTTCATTATCATCTTACGAATAGGACTGGATCACTTTCACTCTCATCTTACGAATAAGACCTCAAAAGTCGTTTTTAGGGAAGACCCTTAGTTCATACGTCTGCCAGCTAACATATACAGGAGTCAGGAACATTTCCTAAGTTGGTATCAAATCACTTGGAAGAATAAGGTGTTGCTCATTGATCCTATTAATCATTATTCTTGAACTAAAAAAATAAAATATGTCGTGAAACCAAAAAATAAAATTAGGAAATAAGAAAGCAGAACAAATTAATAAAAGAAAATCAAGTAATAAAGCAGGCATTATGTTTGGTTCATATTGCCCGTTAACTTTAACAAACTTGTTGTGTTCGTCTGTAGGTATTTTTTTGGAACACACATATTTCCTGATGTTTTGCTCAATGATATTGCGGGCCCGGAAGGAGATCCTCTGCTTTTGAGTTTAAAACTCTCTGTAGATGTTTTGGTGAGTAATTCTAAACTTGGATCCTCTGACTTGTAATTTTGCTTCAGGTTCATGATTAAAACTACTTGTTTGTACCACCTTCCTTCCCTATTTCTTGAGCATGGAGCACTCCTATTTTTGGTGTTTGTAATTTATTTTCGAGTTAAATAATTTACAACTAGTGTTTGCCTTTTTGTAGGTTGTTTCTTGTCCTTGTGCATTGGGTCTTGCCACACCAACGGCAATCCTAGTTGGCACCTCACTTGGTACTTTATTTATGCTTCCTGTATTTAGTAAAACTTACATAAGTTTTATGTGAACAGTGAACACATACATTAGATGTATTACATTACTCTTATGGTGAAAAAACTGCTCATTGCTCAAATATTGAATAATTTTATCTGATGCTACAAATTTCCAATTTCCGCTTCCTTGAATTTTTTTTTGGCATTAAGTAATATTTTCTCAATACATTTTCTATTAGCTTTATTGTTTATCTCTTCCATTTTTTTAGTTCTTTCTTTTTTACTTTAAAGCATTCTTGATTGTCTGGTTCTATAAATATATATTTTCCGATGCAAAAGAATCACAACTACTGCAGTTATAAAATACGTAGCTGTCTTACAATCAGGCATAAGTTCTACACTTAAATTTATGAATTTATTTTATAAAATATACCATATGTAGTCTGGGTTCCTGGTTTGATTTTTTTAGTATCTTCTACCCCTTTTTTACTATTTCACACACTAGGCATAAACCGTCTCTGCAATGACCAGGGGCAAGAAAAGGACTTCTTATCAGAGGAGGGGATGTGCTAGAACGCTTGGCCGGTGTAAATTATATTGCTTTAGATAAGGTAAATTCATTTTTCATAGTCTAATGGTGTTTCTCTCCCCTTCTACATGATCACACACACACACACACACACACACACACACACACACATATATATCTGCTAACGTGTATATGTGTCTGTTATAGGGTCAGAATACATTGACATGAATGATAATCAAAATCAATCTTGCATGTATTCTTTGAATTTTCAAGTTTGCAGTATATTCATATATATCATAATTAACAAACTTTACATTAATCTTTGATGATTTATTGCTTCATCAAAATTTCTTCAGACTAAATAAATATATACTTTTCAAATAACAGAAAACAACAACAATATGATCCATGTTTATTTTCGTTTAAAATCTCTAAAAGTTGGAATTTACATTTTGAATTTGAGAGAAGTGTAAGTATTTAAGTCAGTGACTCATGTTTGCCATTATTTATTCAATCTAAACGACAATTAGTTATTAAAATATAATCTGAACGCTCTTCCGACTTTGAACCGTTGACTAACATTTATCTCAAGAACCGAAGATTTTCTAAAACCAAACTTTCAGACAGGAACCCTTACCAGAGGAAAACCAGTTGTTTCCGCCACAGGCTCTATTGAGTATGGAGAGTCGGAAATTCTTCAGATTGCTGCAGCAGTGGAGAAAACTGCATCTCATCCAATAGCAAAGGCTATTGTTAATAAAGCTGAGTCATTAGAGCTGGTCCTTCCGCTCACAAAAGGACAGATAGTTGAACCAGGTTTTGGAACCTTGGCAGAAATAGATGGGCGTTTGGTTGCGGTTGGGTCTCTAGAATGGGTCCATGAACGTTTCAAGACTAGAATGAACCCATCTAATTTGATGAATCTCGAACATGCTTTGATGAATCATTCATCGAGTACATCATCTTCGAAGTATTCTAAAACTGTTGTTTATGTTGGACGTGAAGGAGAAGGCATCATTGGTGCTATTGCCATATCTGACATTGTGCGTGAAGATGCTGAATCTACTATAATGCGGTACTTATACTTTTCTTTATGTATACAACTCATTTTAGGCAAGTAACACTACTGCTTCTTCTTTCTGACTACATGTGAAGTTGGTTCACTTTATAAAAAACAGGGTCAGTGCATTTTTTAGTAGCCTTAACTTTTCAAGCTCAAAACTAACAGTACACCTTTTTCTGACCCACTTGTTAATTCCTGATAAAATTCTAAGAAAGCTGATAAAAATATTTCGACTATTGGAACCACCCAATCGGTTGCTGGTTAATGATGTTCAAAATATGGTTAATGAGTAACTACTTACTCTTGGAGTTAATTAACTACTAATTATCCCTAGACTGGAAAGATTTTTATCAATAATTTTTGTACCCACCCTCCTGTTATCGGTGCATGTGATATTTTCTGACTGCCCATTCCCATAGGAGAAAGTTTATAAAGTTTTATTGCTTCATGCCGAGTTTACCTTTCACATCACCGTATTTATTTGTAATAAGCTTATCTAGATATTTTAATTGAACTAGGCTACCTAGCAAATCTGTTTTACATACTACCATTATTTCCCTATAAGGTTTAGAACTATTTCCTAAAGTTTGACCATTCAAATCTACACTTTCCGCTGGATTTCATAACTTACTAACATTGAGTATCTTCTGTTGTTTTCTGATGCTTGGTGGGTGCATTTTCTGCTCGATTTTCTTGTTTTTATTGCAGGCTCAAGAAGAAGGGGATTAAAACGGTCCTCTTATCAGGAGACAGGGAAGAGGCAGTTGCAACGATAGCAGAGACAGTTGGAATTGAAAATGATTTTGTCAAAGCATCCTTGTCTCCGCAGCAGAAATCTGCATTTGTTTCATCTCTAAAAGCTGCTGGACATCGTGTTGCAATGGTATGATGAAAGCTATACAAGGGTGAAAGTTCTCCCAATGCCTATTTTTTCATTCAGAAAACTCAATACTTTGTTTAATGTAAACCAAGCTCCTTTCTGCTTGGACCAACACGCATTATAAATGTCGTACATTTTGGTTTCACTGAATAATGTGGAATCAAATAGAGTAAAACAGATTGTTCCATTCAATTCTGTCCATAATATATGTCTAACACTACCATAAAGTGACAATGAATCTGGTCTTAAACATTGCATGCACCTTTTACACTAAATAATTGGATATTTTTCTATTTTTATTTTTGAGGTTATGATATTTATGTTTGCTCTTCATTGAATAGAATGCATGACAATGGTCAATGGAGCAGATGCACCCTAAAATGCTTCTGTTATAAGCATCACACTGGATTTTAGTTTTTTTAGAATGAAGCAATGAATATTGAATGGAAAATGGTGTTTACTAAGATTTTTTTCCTCTCCTTCTCTAAGGTAGGTGATGGGATCAATGATGCGCCCTCTTTGGCTGCAGCTGATGTTGGGATAGCTCTGCAGAATGAAGCTCAAGAGAATGCTGCCTCAGATGCAGCCTCCATCATACTTCTGGGCAACAAAATTTCACAGGTATGTCATTCTGATGCCTGGGATTCATTAATTTGCTTTCATTTCATTCTGATGCTAAATGGGCGACAAGGTGAAATTTTGATTACCCAAAATTTCCGGCACTTATGATGTGAGCCTGTTATTTTGAGCTTACGGCATGGTACAATTGATCTGCGTAAACAATAATCTGTCTGGTGCAACAATGATGTAGATGCATATTTCTTTTTTGTGTATAAAATCAGTTCTAACTGTTTTTATATTGCATGTTTTGTTTGTTATCTTCTAGTAGTAGAGATGATGAAATGGAATGGTAGTGTGGCACTTTTACATAAACCCTTGTTTTCTGACTTTTTAACGGACAGGTTATTGATGCATTAGACCTAGCACAAGCAACAATGGCAAAAGTTTACCAAAATTTGTCTTGGGCAGTGGCTTACAATGTTGTTGCCATTCCCATTGCTGCTGGTGTGTTACTTCCCCAATTTGACTTTGCTATGACGCCATCACTTTCAGGTGAGCAACTGTACCGCTAGTTTTATTTTCATATAACCGTGAGGCCCTAGTTTATATCGTAGTTGCAATTTTTCTTCCTATATTTTCTGCGTCTACGATAAGGAATTTCAAATGCACTTTCTTCATAGGCAAAAACTGGTTATTTTCTGTTTATTACCTTGATATTTTTTAATCACAGGAGGACTAATGGCTATGAGCTCCATCTTGGTGGTTAGCAACTCACTGCTTTTAAAGCTTCATGAGTCTGAGACTTATGGAAAGGGATCACTGTAGTGACATTTTTTCAACCGTGTTGATTATACTTTTACAGAAAAGACTCTATCATTGTACATCTTTTATAACAAGCAATAAATATCATGATAGAAAGATAAATTAAGTTTTCCTCATAAAGGATAAGGGTAATGCAAGGGCATGTTAAAAAACTCACAGATAGAAAATATGTATGGAAAAAAACAATAAATTCACTAATTGTAAGGCTGCATTAGATTTATTACACAATTTTTAAAAATTATTTTCTATATTTATTTCTTAATTTGGGCATTACCCAAAGGATAAATTTGAATTTATAAGTTGATAATAAATTTAATACTTCTATTTGAACTACAAATTTATTACTTTCATTAAATTTCTTAATTTTTGTGATTTAGTCAATAAATTTTTATATTTACTTAAGTTTAAATATCATATTATATTTCTTATCCAAGCTTCAAATTTGACCCCTTAATTTTTAAAAGGTTTGTTTTGGTCCCTTAACTCGGTAAATTGAACCACGTTAAATATTTTAATATTTTAGTTAATTATGTTATTTTAATAGATAAAGTTATGTGGCACTGACAAAGAATGTCACATGGTCAGACAAATTTTTGTGACCAATTTAGCGATGGAAAAAACGGTAAAAGAAAATTGTGGGTTACATAGTTTACGAGGGAACTCTAAAGAGTTACAAAAGTTGCTAACATGAAGATCTTGAGCATTCTTGAAAATACCGCTGCAAGCAAAAACTATAGGAGTCCAATGTAGCATTTAATTTACCCTTGAGGAGGAGGATGTCACAAAATATCTTTGGTCTGGAAAGGTTTTTTAGGATGAATTTTGATTTTATCGGATCAGAAAAGGATCAGTAGCCAGCAACACGTCGTAAGTTTTTTGTATTCGTCGGTGGTGGAGAAGAGAAGGGGGTGTACCTACAAGGTACTCCGATGTCAAAGTAAGAGACGAAGTAGAAAGAGCAAGTATAAAAAGGTGTGTAGAGAATTGAATATCTGGCCCTCTAGTGAAAGAGGGTATTTATAATGTGTCCCAACGCTGGGTCAATGTTACTTTGCACTGGGTTGGATTGCATACCCAATACGAGTAACTGTCAGGATTTACGTGGCGTAAGGATGACCAACACGTGGTATTCGTTCTGGGTCAACTGCCCCGTGATCCTCGAATTGCGTGGGGGGCACGTGGAGACCGTGAGGGAGACGTGTGAGAGCTCCATGTGGATGTTGGGAGGATTGGGCTTTCATTGGGTCCTCCCTGGCGAAGGGCTGGGTTGGGTCGTTCCCGACGATGGGCCAGCCTCTGGCTCAGTCTAGAACAGGAGCTCTCCAAACTGTTGCTCCGAAGCATAAGAGTAATGACTTTGGAGTCAGTTCGGGCGTCGAGGACCTGTTCGGAGGAGAAACATGCGTGTTCGAAACACTGGGCTAGGGGACAAAGCGTGTGACAAAGATAAGTAATTTGCTCGCTCGGGCAGGAGCTCGCGGGGAGGTTTGTCCATCAGATGCAATCCTGGCTCTTTTCTTCCTTCTCCCCTAGATATGTCCTCGTTGGGGGTTCTGGTCGACTATGTGGCGAAGATGGAAAGGAACAGGCACACCTGGTCCTCGAGCATGAGGGGGAGTCGAGAGGCATGTGTGGTGTCTTCTAAGGCCACGTGTCACGAGTAATCAATACCTAGGACGACTAGGCGTAGGGGCACTTGAGTGCCTAATGATGCCTCACTTCTCGCGCTAGGCTCATAAATATGGGGAGAGTCTCCTTCATTTTCATTTCCCCTTCATTTTAGTTAGAATTTCTTCCAAGTCTCTCCAAGCTCTCTCCGCTCTCCAGATTGCGTTCGCCGTCACCGCCGTCGTCAGCCTTTCTCCGTCGCTCAGATCTTTTTCCTTTAAGTAAGTTTCTTTTTCTAGCTTTTTATGGATATTTCGATGACTTTTTCGAGGAGCTGTAGGGTTACGGGGAATGCATGAGTTTTTCGGCGACTTCCATGAAGTTTCAGCTAGGGCTGTGAGTTTTCCGGCTGAACTATGAATTTTCGGTCAAATTCATGAAATTTTTGACCAAGCTCATGAAGTTTTTGGCCAAGATGCCAGGAATTTCATGAGGATTCGAAAAGCTTTATGAAGTTTCTGATGAAGTTCTCGAGGACCTGTGATGAAGGTCTTGGGGAGCGTTGTTCCCCACTAGTGTACGAACATTGCGAGGAGGTCTTTGTCGAGGAGTTTTCCCGTGTTTATTAAGGTTTTCTCACGCGAGGAGCCTCTCTATCGATGAGGTTTGCCGTTTCGCGTCGACGGGAGTTTCTTTGTGGATGAGTCTCCGTTGAGGAGGGGGCTTGCTACTCTGTGTCGGGGAGGGTCTGTCAGAGGGCTCCCCGTCCCTCCCTTCGCCCTTTCACTTGATTTGCGGTGGAAGGGTGGATTTGATCTTGGAAGTTGAATTCATCGTTTTCCTCTGGTTTTCAGGTAAAATGGTCGTAAGGATCGAGGGTGTCATTCACATCAACGAAGAAGCTGAGTCTGACACACCCGTCGAACAGGTCGGGTCCGAACGAGTTCGTACGCTCGAAGATTGGGTCAGGCAGGAACCTCTTAACATTGCGTCACGTTTTTCCTTCGACGATACGGATGCCTTCGCCATTGTTGAGGACCGTGTCGAGGATTCCTCCCCGTGTTGGATAGTTTACAAGCCCAAAGAGAAGCACTGTATCTGCTCGAGGTTCAAGGAGATGAGGTTCCCGATGTACGAGTTCGCGGTTCGAGACGCGGGGATCCGTCTCCCTTTCAGTGATTTTCAGGGGGGATTGTTCCAATGGCTGCACTTGGCGCCTTCGCAACTTAACCCTAATGCGATAATTTTCGTGCAAGCGTTTGAACTTGTCTGCGAACATCTTGGTATTGGGGCCACGCTCCCCTTTTTCTTCCGCACTTTTCACTTACATCGTCAATCTTTCCAAGGTCGACATAGCTGGGTATCCTTGAAGCAACTGAGGAAGCTATTCCAGGCATACCAAGATTCTGTTCGCACCTCCAGGGACATGCTCTATGTTATGAAGCCCGTATCTCACGTGGTCGTCGACTCCCTGTATGACCTTGTGGTCAAAGAGGAAAACGGGCAGCGTGAGGAAACATTGGTGTCGAAGTTTCCCCTCGAGTGCGTAGAGGATCACTTCGATAAGGGTACTGACAGCTATATCGTGAAGCACAACGACCTGGACGCCGACGACCAGCTATCTTACGAAAAGATAGTCGACTTCGTCTCCGGTTTCACTCCCGCCAAATGCATCTGCAAGGATGGGAGTTTCATCCTCGACGAGCGCAGAGAGATTCGTTGTGAGGCTCGCTTGATTAACACTAAGGCCCTTCTCGAGTGCGGGTCCCGTGAGGAGGCCTTGAGGTTCTTAGGTAGTGAATCTTTTCTTTGCTCGGGCGCCTCCTTTTTCCTTTTTTACACTGACTCAATTTTCCTTGTTCTTTGTCGTAGTCTGGATGTCGAATGTACAGGAACGTATAATGAAGCTCGCAGCGGTCAAGGGCAGGAAGAAGGCTGCCAAAGGTAGAGTCTCTTAGGTCCATCAAATGTTAAAGCCCGACCAAGGAGCTGGTGGTTCCGCCTCTTCCCAATGTAGCTAGTCTCCTCCCACGCAGGAGACTTCATCCAAACGACAGTGCACCGAGGAACTCGTACTTGTCGACCTTGATGAGAGCACGCCCGTGGAGAAGTTTATGTTACCCCTTGCCACCTCCATCGCGACTTCTTCTTTGGGGATAACTCCCCGAATGTGGTTGAAGTTGAAACCAAGGCGACCATGGGGATCGACAGGGTGGCCAGAAGAAAAGCGTTAATTGAGGACATGACATCCATGATGAGAATTTTTGAAACGGCCTTGGTCCTCAATGGTGAAACCAGTCCAACCTTTGATTTGAAAAAGCTGCAGAACAAGAACGTCGTCGTTGCTACGGAGAAAAATAAGACGGAGTGCGATCTTCTCGAGGCTAAGATGAGGTACGAAGCTCAGGTGCGCCTCCTCCACGAGATGAACGAAATGCTGGAAGAGCTGAAGGAAACCAAGGGGGAGCGGGATCGACTGCTGACCAAGGTGGCTGAGCTGTAGGTCGATGTTAAGCCTGCTGAGGATGAAACAGAGGAGGAAAAAGCTCTTGCGGCCCATATTGCCTTGGTCGCCTAGATCCGAGAGCTCGAGCAGGACTGTTTGGGAGCCCTCGAGGTGGGGTTTACCAATGCTTTGGAGCAGGTCCAGATCATGAATCCTGGGGCTCAGCTTGTCCTCGAGGGGATCAACCCTTTCCACCAAGTGGTTGATGGTAGGGTAGTTATCCCCGACTCTTCCGACGATGGAACTGGCCAGAGTGATGTGGGACCCCGGCCCGAGGAAGGGCTATGCCCGACACAATGCATTTTGATCTATCTTTTGGTATGTTTATATTTTGTGTGTGCTGCATGTATGTTGAATATGTGTTTTACTTGTGGATAGTCCATCATTGTATTTGCGTGTTTTTTTTTAAGTATTTGGGGCCTTTGCTCGACGTTATTGGTCCTCGACAGTTTAGAGAACTGGTCGAGTGGTCGGAGTTGGATTCCAACCTTCGTCGAAGATAAGAGCTCGGTCGAGGTCTTTGCTTCGAGACGTGAACTTTCCATCACGAGCTGGGTGTCTTGCCTAGTTGGTACGACAATGGTGGAGCTCGGTTGAGGTGTCCCCGTCAGATCAAGAGTTTTCTCGCACACACAAGAGCGGGCTCTTGTCTTCTTGTTTCTAGTTTAGGAGTCGCACTTGTACCCTAGCGCGCCCCTGTGGTCGCGACTCGAATAGGTCGCGGACAGTGTTTAACTGTAGTACTATTTAAGCTTCTCAACGTTCCATGGTCGAGCAAGTTTCTCCCCGTGCAGGTTTTCGAAGTAGTAGGCTCCGGTCCCCGTTTTTGCGCGGACACGATAGGGGCTCTCTCAGTTTGCGGCGAGCTTGCCTTCGCACGAATCTTTCT